ACGTGTTGTACTATACAGGACATAATAAAGTTTCCTAACAATCAACATAACCGAAACGAAAACCGTAACCACGAAACCGTGAATTGAACCGAACCGTGGATTTTGTGAACCGTTCAGCCCCTAATTTATGAGTCCAGAGAAAACGCTTGATGACCGTAACTTCAGCAGGATGTAACTAATCCTGAATTGATGCTTATTTTGCAGCGTGCTAGGTGGCATGTTTGGGAAGAAATCCTTGCGGTGCCTCTTTACTGGCCAGCCGCCACTGCTGGGAATTCTAGCTAGAAACAAATAGAACTGGATCAAGGAGGATGCTGAGTGATAAAAGAAGCATTTTGAGGCTAATATATACAGTAGTCCCTGTGCTCTGTGGTTTCTTTTGCAGTCAGTGAATTACTGAAGCTCATCTTTACTATTGTGATGATATGAAGGGGATTTTGGCAGGTTATTGTTCTGTATATAGATGCCTTTATAGATTCAAAGAAGCCTAATGGCTTTTTTGGTTCCAGATCAAATGTGTTTCCTGTGCACTGATTAGAGTCTGTGGTGAAAACCAAAGACAGCAGGTTGATACTTAAATGGATTCTATTGAGTTCCGTAAAAGTTAAAAAAAATATCCACTGGACTTGGTTTCCAAGATTTGAAGACGTTTCGCCACCTCTTCAGGAAGCTTTCTCAATTATTCCTGGAGAGGTGGCGAAACGTCTTCAGATCTTGGAAACAAAGTCCAGTGGATATTTTTTGAACTTTTACGGAATGACTATGACCTGGATGACTGAGAATCTTCATCAGCATTCTATTGAGTTCTCCAGTCACCATCTCTTGACACCTCATAATTACTGCTGTTTTTACTCTACAGGATCAAGTGCCGTAAGCAGAGAACCCAGACCTGGATCTGCTGGATTGATTGCGGCTCTGACCATCCTGCTCTGTATTAGATAGTGATTTTTAATTTTATTTTTCCTGATAGTATTATATTTCATAATCATTGGTATAGTCTATATAATTTTCTTGATACACTTTACTTGCTTGTTTTCTCCTATAAAACTTCAAGTTTCAGAAGGAATCAAGAATCGTTTATAATGAAACATTTTATTGGCTCTAATGTAAACTATGAATATTTTTGCATAGTTGATATCTTTTCAATTGCTTTAAACAACATATGATGGGACACACTTTAAAAATTAACTAGTCAAGAAGAATAGGACTCATGCCTGGATACTACTTTGATTGAGATGCGTCGTTGAGGAACATCTGCCAGGCTTTGTCTTATTGCCATGTATTTTCCAGGCTTCTTATAAACTCTACAACTTTCTGTTGTCTCCGCATCAGATTTGATTTTACTGATATCTTGGATCGATCTACTCATCTTTGTTCAAAAGATGTTCAAAATATTATTGTCATGTTGCGCCATATGCCATGATCATACATTTTGGACATTGGGAACCAGTGTCCATATTTCATATTGACATGATCATGTGGAATCAGCTGTGGAATCTCTGCAACAACCCCAGTTTCAGCCAAAGCCTCCACAGGCAAGACATATGGCAAGTCTCAGAGGTGTGACCAACCACCACCCCCCGTCTGTTCGAGGACAAACAAAACCATAGAGCACCGAGGATTCTTCCCTCTTTGGCTCCTTCTCTCCTTGCTTCCTCTCCCTTGCCCAGGGAGCTAAGGTCCATCTTGGCTGTTTCACCACCACAGTGGAGATGCGGGCCCCAGAGGAACCAGATCCCCAGAGCCATCAAGGATAGATCAGAACCTTTCAGAACCAAACTGCTGCAAAACAGACCTTTTGCAACACATTTCTCTTGAGTTTCAGAACTTATATAGCCAGACTGGATGAAAGAAGGACTGCCTTGACAAAGAACCCCTGCTGTGCCCTGACTGCAGATGTCTTTTGATGATACTAATCATATCACGTGTTTACTGCTGAGTAAAGACAATGCTAATTGATGCTAAAGAATGGACTGAATGCTACGCTATGCTACAGGAATACGTGTTGAGCTGTTGCTTAAGCTTGGACAAGTTTTATTTCACTAAGAGTCTAAACACTGCTGATATAACATTAGTGTTCATGTGTTCCTCAGATTCTCATTACATTTCCATGACCAAGTATGACCAAGGGTAATTTAGTGGAATCCTGATGTCTATTCGCTGCTAGCTATTTCAAGGAGGGTAAAGAATCATTTAGCTAAAGGTTTTTGGTTCTTGATTAAGCAAATCATTCAATAAAACATTATTTGGCCAAATAATATTTTATTCACCTCATGGATTTGCATTGTGAATTGGTCTG